TTTACAGGATTTTTCACGAAAAGTATTGGATCAGAGCTTATATGCGTTTACATATACATACATACATACATATGCTTTCCCTACGGTCGTATCCCTTTCCAACCACTCGAACTTTTCGTATGTTTTGGTGTTCTCTGATCTTTTTGTTTCGTGTATACATATACAAACATATACATATGTACATATGTATAGACATATGCAGTAATTTTCGCATTCTTCTGTACCTTGGTGGCTGCTACTCGGCTTAACGCCCTTTTTATTTAGCTCACTGTTTTTTGCTACCGCAAAGTTTGCAAGTGTGTGTGTGTGGAGTGTTGTGTAAAATACTATTGGTTGGTATATGGTTGACACCCTTGGTCGACCGCTTGGTCGTTATATGCAGCTTGCGCGCTTAGCGTTGTCTCGCAGCAGGCACGAAACTAACTTTAAAATTTTTAAATACTTTAAGGGCTGGTTGCTCAAAGCCTGGTTGACACTAATCTTCGGTTAAAATCGTTATCGACGCCTTCGACTACATGCGTATAACACGGTGTCGGTAACGTCGATAACGATGTTTACCCGGAGCTTAGTGTCAACCAGGCTTTGAGCAACCGGCCCTTAGGCACACTTTCTCAATGTATGCTTAACACTAACTGCAGGTTAAACATCATTGTCGACGTGATCGTCTCTATAACATATAACAAAGAGTCGATCAAGTCGATAACGATGTTTAGCCTGTAGCTAGTGTTAACCAGACATTGAGAAACTGGTCTAAGGGCCGTCTAAATTTTGTACAATTGTTCAATTTGTTTATCCAACACTTTTTAATTTGAAAATTTTAATGAATAACAAAACATAATATGTATTTTAATTTGTTGAAAAATCAATAGTAGAATAAGGGAAGACAAAAAACAGATCAGAACTAATAAAAACATGTACAATTTTGAAACATATCCACATTAAAAAGACTAAACGAGTAAAACAATTTCAATTTAAAATTTTTACTTTTTTATATGAAACTGTTTTTTACTAATTTTAAAATTATAATTTTTAAGTTTTCCATCTAGTTTTGAACAAACAATAAAAACAAATAAAATAATGGTCAAATATTTTTTAAAGCTTATTTAAATTTTTTATTTTCGATTTTTTGTTCACTATTTTTTGTTTTATTACTTTAATTATTTAAAACTTTTTTAATACTTTTTTAATTTTTCTATTAATATTTAACTGTGGTTAAGGTGTATTTATCACAGGCCTTTTACTAAGAATAAAAAAGTTAATTATTTCAACATTGAATTTTTTCATTTAAGAACTATTTACCACCTTCAACGCTTGTTTCAAATAACTGCACTTTTTTTCTTGTATTTTCTTTTTGAATTGAACTTGTTTCGGATTAAACTTTTACCCTCAATTGACGTATTATTTTGATGTTTATGGGTGTATATATTTTACACTTGTACACTACCAAATAAAATTTAAAATATATTTCGTTCTTTGTCCGTATTAAGGAGTCCATGAAAGCCTCTCGCTTTGAGATTGTAAATATTTTATGAATCCTGCGTTTAGCGCCGCATTTTCTGCGCAAATACATTTCTATACACTTACTGACAGCATTTTGTATTCGTTGTGTACATATTTGTGTATGCCGCAAAGAAAATATATCTTACAATATGCCATGGCGCCTAAAAGATCACTATCTATCTACTTTCCCCTTTCTACGCTGCCCGTTTTCTGGTGTTGCGTATCATTTTGTGCGTAGAGACCTGCTGCGGCTTACTGTTAGCTCGAATTCTCACTGGCGCCATTGTTGTCCTTCATTGTCTTGCCAAAAAACGCTAGCCAATAAATATTGCAAACGAATTTTGTCATTTTAGTCATCGTCGCTGTTACCCTCTGTTATGAGCTAATCTGGTTTTTCTTGGCACTCCTTTCCCCTCTTTAGCGTACATAAATTTGTACAAACCCCAACTGCGCTTTGTTTGATATTTGTTGCCCGTGGAGGAATTAGCCAAGCATTGTATGCAAAATTTGTCGTTTGCATGCTTTTTATTTTTTTTATTTAGTCGCACTGCTTCAAAGTATGCAGCTGTGATTTGCGAAAAAATCCAAAAATTAGTAGCGAAAAAACAAAGAATTTTGCTTACCAAAACAGTGCCCGGATTTAAGGCGCTCAGGCGTGGTTCTTTTCTGAATACCCTTATGATTTTGCTATGGCAGGAAATATGAATTGGTAGCATATTTTTAGGTGTATTGCCGTACTATATTTTTATATTTTTAATATTTAAAATATTTTCGAAGTTATTAGTTAAATTTTCAATGACGGAGATAAAGTAACGCATCAAAACTTTTTAGCTCCTAAGTAAGTTCAAGCCTTCTATGCAAGGCATTACTAAAATAACTTCAGCCCTTCTCAACACATTTTGATATCGATTTTATTTTTCGAACCCTTTCCGCTCAATCCAGAGCATTAAGGAAATTCGTGAGGTGCTATAAAAATTGTAGGGAATGCATGAAAATGTTAAAAGCAAGCGCAGGCTAAGGCATTTCCAGCTTTCTTAAGTGCTTTACCACCTTTGCTCCAAAACCCCTTTAACTCGCTTTCTCCTTACCTCTTATTCGCTCAAAGAAAATGAATTATTACCACGCCTTTTTGTTCTACATTCGCGCGCACGTTTAGGCAATTTCACAAGCATAATTGTATGGTAGCTGCACAATTACAATTATTAGACGTGCTGCACTTTTCTTTTTCTACAAAATATAAAAAAGTACAATAAAAAAGTCTCATAAAATAAAATAAATCACCTTCCATGCTATGTACCTAAGCTCCTTTCTCGTATTCTGCTTGCTATGTATGTATGTACACTAGGCGACAAAGGAAAGTGTACACCTTGTTTAATATAATACTCACAATTATTTTCATGAACAATTTTTTGCATTAATTATATATGAAAATATAGTTCATTCGAAAATTTTCTAGAAATTCTTAATAACAAGTTGAAATTCTTTTGAATTTTTGTGAACTTTAAACTAGGCGTGAAACTTTGATATATATCGTTTATATTATAGAATAAACTATATTTTCGTAAATAAATAATGAAAAAATGTTTCTGATGATTAGGTTATGTTTTTAATGACGGTTTCAAATCTGTGACTGAAATTTTTATATCAGTTTCTTTTTGTATGGCAGCAACTGCGTGAATAAAAATTGCCAAAAATCAACGGTAAGTCCTAGCCACTTCAAATTTGCATTTTGTTGTAATAAAATTTGTTCGGGTTCAAAACTTCATACTCAAAAAATATTTAAAAAATCTGATTAAAAAGTTGAAAATTTTATTAAAAATTTATTGAGTTTTCCTAAGCTTTGCACAAAGTTTAGAAATTATATTTTTATATTTTTTGTTTTAGTATGAACCATATTTTTATAAAAAATTTGCGGAAAAAATCAAATTAAAAATTGTTGCATATATTCTAAAGAAATTCTCTGTGCCAAAACTTTTTTAAGGCAGTGTAGTTGATCTATTTTTATTAAGATCTTAAGTTAAAAAAAACTTTCTTTTACATGACTTCCTTGCAGAAGTTGCATCCCATCATATCTGCCTTTCAAAGGCTTTGATAGCGTTTCTCCATCGTATTAAGGTAAATGCCATAACTCGTAAACAAGAGCTGCTAGAAAACAAATGAGGGTATATTTAGAATCAGGGACGCCAAATTGGTAAACATCATCGGTTATAAGTCATTCATCAGGCCAAAAGTGCAATTTTCTTGACCAGTGTAATTAATGCAACAAAATGTTCAAGAAAATAATTCATCAGGCCAAAAGTGCAATTTTCTTGGCCAGTGTAATTAATGAAAAAAAAAAAAATATGAAAATAACTGTGAATGTTATATTAGAACAAGGTGTACACTTTCATTTGTAGCCTAGTGTATGTGCCTTACTCGTACCTTTTGTCCCCGTACTATTTACTTTATTTTAGTACATAATAAATATTACTTTCCTCTTTACGCTTGCATGCGCCTAAAAGTCTGCTTTAATTTGTTGCATGTCACATGACAACTGCGGCACTAGGCAAGTAAAACAACAATAGGAAAAGTACCCCGCCGGCAGCAATTGTTGACAAATGTAATTATATTTAATAATTTAGCTATAGCAATTTCGTTGCCTCGCTTGTCAAATCGTCTTCGTTTCCCAACTACGCCTATGCCATTTTGTCGATCAACATGCATACATACATACATACATAGCTTAATGGCTGGTGAATAAAATGGCAGTTGTTTGACTTGTCGTTGATTTCTTATATAAATATTTATTCTCCGGGATTTGGCTTTTTTCCTTTATTGATTTCTTTTGAAAAATTATTGTAATTTTTTACTTTAAGCACTTGGTAAATTGAGTTATCATAAAGCGGTAATGGCGGCAATTTCGTGCAGCTCGCAACTAAACGGCACCGACAGAATTTCGTGCTTTCCATGTTTGTCTGTTTTGGTTTTTGAGAGAGCTTAGACTTCAGCACTTAAAGTGTGTTGCCATAAAAGTTTAATATTTTACTTGTTATGTCTTATATTTTTAATCAGTATTTATAAATTTTTTATTTTTTTGTAAATTTTGCTTTGTTACTCAATTGGTTTGTTGTTTACACTTTCTGCTGCCTTTGTTTTTTATAACCTCGCCAGTTATTAATTATCTTCCACTGACTACTTTATTTTATACATATTTACTCATTTATTTAAATTTTTTTTTGTGGTATTAAAAGTTTTATGTGCCTGCTGCGCTCTTAATGTAAATATGTACATTCTCTTTAAAAACCTATTGTTTTCTAGTTTTTCGCATTAAGAGCACTCTCAACTGGTATTATTGCTATCGTTTTTGCATTGCTGTATATTTTTAGAAACCTTTGCTCACCAATAATATACGCTTTATTTTACATTTTTATTGGCGTTCTCTTATTCAAGTTCTTTCGTCTGTCTTATCACGCTTCGCGCATACATACTTACATGACCAGAATTAAAAAAAAAAAATACGAATTTGTAAAATGCGAAAATGTAATTTATTTATTAATTATAGAAAACCCACACTAAAAATATGTATAAACTGCTATATTGCTATACTAAAGATTTGCACATACAATTCTAAATCGAATAGACCCTAATATAATCGATACGCAGATCGCCATTCTGCAGCCAGCCGTCAAAATCATTCTTCACCTTTTTATGCAGCAAGCTCATTCCACGCGGCTCTGTATTTACCCAAGGCTTCTCTGGCTGCCATCCATACAAGCTATCCTCAAAGTCATTCACGCCAGCAATGCCATAGCCCAGTGTAATGTAGAATTCCTGATCGAAAGGCGCCAGCTTCGTGCCCGACTTGAGTAATTCGCTGTTCGGTAGCTTTGGTAGCTCCTGCCCGTCTTCCGCCTTCAAATTTGTTAAAGCTTCTTCTGTGTTGCTTGAAGTAAACCACCGACAATATTGCTTACCGTCCACCGATACGGAAATTTCGTTTTCTTTCCAAGTCAAGCTGTAAGTGTGAAATTCATTGCCCAGATCAAGCGCATCTTCATTGTTAAATTCACACATTTTCGCCCTACGCCAAGGACTATTCGCATTTAAAATTAGACCACCGTATAGATGCATTTGTGTATTATTGATGCAGGTGAATGCGATGCGCATTTGGCCGGATTGATAGTTGTCGACGCCATATTTTGCGTCTTTCGGCTCCAACCATAACTGCGGGAAGACCCAGTTAGCGCGCGGCAGCTTAGCGCGTATTTCGACGCGGCCATATTTGAAAGTGAAGTGCTGCTTTGTGGAGAATTGCGCCGAAATGAAGGGCGGTATGTTGAGGATGTGTTGTGCACCGCCATCGCGTACGCAATCATCCGTGTTGGCGCGCCCTGTACAACGTGCGCCCAGATCGTGTTTGGCACGCAACGGGTTCTTATACTGTTGGAAGTGCTGCTTAGTCATTTTCGGGCGTATAGTAACCATGCCATTTTGCACTTTTAACACATCGGGCACATTGTCTAAATACAGGACAAATTCATGGTCGGGCGCTCGGGAGAAGCGTTCTTCCACAGTCCAATGGTGCTTGTCCAAACGCGAGCCTGTAAAGTCATCATCGAAGAGCAATTGATTGGCGCAACGTTGTGGCACGCCATTTTTGGTAGTTGCTGTCGATTTGCAGCTTTCATCGATGCGCACATCAATTTCGCCAGCGCCGCCGTGACCTTTGTTGTCACCGTTGCCGCCTCCTGATGGTGGTGGTGGAGTGGGAGTGGTGATTTCACCAGGCCGGTTTGTATATTCGTTCACCACAAACACGCCATCATCTTCACGATAACCCAAACCATTGTAGATCACATAGGTCCAATAGTAAAGTGTATCACCGAATTTCAGTTTTGTGTTGCGATCGCGAAAAATCCAACGGCCATCTTTCGGCTTCAAAATATCTCTGGCCCAAGTGCCGGCCTCTAAGCCGTCCATTTCCTCATTTAGCTTGCCGTGAAATGCGAAGAGTGTCATGCCCTCCTCATGCGGTATAGACACCTCAAATCCTTTGGGCCAGAAGACATCGATTTTTGCCTTTGGCACCTCGTAGGGTGGAATGTTGGCGCGCGCTGTAGCGGCGAAGCAGGTTATAGCGAGGATTAGCAAGCGCAGCATCTTGGCATATATGTTATTTCCTTCTTCCTTTCTTTGTTGTGTGTGTAAGCGTATTTTGTTCGAGTGCCGTTGCCGTTGCAAAATGAATTGAACTGCTGCTTCGCGAATTGTTTTCTACTAACTGCCGTAGCTCTGCATTGAGTTTAGCATTTTGGAGCTCACATTAGCGCTGATAACCTGTTGGGTAGGCGTCGTTTTTAATTTGTTTTTGTTTTCGATTACAGCAAATGCAAACCGGTTGGCTGCTGGGGTAAGCCCCTGCATGCTCTTCTATTCTAAGAAACATACTAGCGTAGCTCTGCTCGCAGCTTCTTACAAATAAACCAAGCAAGGCAGGGATTGCAATTTCTTTATTTACTCATATTTTTGCGTTACTGATAATTTCATGAGCGGCTGCGTAATCACAATCGCATTGACTACGTACACACGTACCGCGTTCTAAATATTTATTCCTCCCTTTTAAACATTTTTTTCTTTTTAGTTGAAATCTCCACTTTTCTTTAAAAAAAAAAATTGAAGCGCTTATTTGGCGCTTACACTTTTGCTAAGTATTTGACCGGGCTGAACCTCCAATTTGTGAAGTGTATCGTCCTGTCTTTACAACACAATTTTACGCCGCCTATGAACGGCAAATGACACTTGGAGCTTTGCCATTGACTGCCTAGGGGCGATCACTGTTAGAAAAAACATTTTTCTTATTTTAGATGTTGCTTTTACCAGTAATCGAACCCAGGTCGCACCTCTAACCATTCGGCTACAGCAGCCAACTGTGTGGATTAAGCTAATATAAAAATGGTTAGTGTGCTTTTCTATAGAAAACTGACACTAACTGATGCAGAAGTGAAAAATTCAGAATTTCGAAAAAAATCACTTTGAGCTAAAAAAAATTACATGAAAAAATTATAGGCTACATCTTATCTGAAAAACCGAATACCGTTTACTATTTCTACAAAACAAAAAAAAAATACTTTAAAGAGGATAAATGTATAGTCTACAAACACTTTACTATACAAAATTGGAGTATTCTTTCTAAAATATTGCAAAATGCCGTTGAAAACATTTTCTATCTTAGAAAGTGTAACAGAAAAACTTTTGAAACTCCAAACTTCACTCTTGTTTTTTTAATAGTTTTTTTTTCAAAACTTTCCACTTCTGCTTTTCATACCTTAAACTCTTAACTAACTCGGCAGAACATTGTGTTACATTAAAAAAATAGTTATTAAGTTCTTTTCCACATGGCATTTTTTTTTGAATGGCATATATTTTCTGTCATTTCAATGCGTAGTGGAAATTCGGCATTGGGTTGTAAAACTTTCTTATATATATATTTCTTGTGCTGGGCTGTAGTACAAATTGTTAACTATTCTTCACTTTTGACAAGCGCTGAGCACCCTTTGCATAATGCTTTGTAAAGGTTGCGCAAACTTCTGTATTTTTTTTAGGAATAATTTAGTACGCATAAATACATACTAAGTTGTACGCCAGCGCTCTTTCACCACAAACGAACCCCGCCCGTCAGAAATTCTTGCGAATGATTTACGCGCACTTTCTTTGTTGACCTTCAGTGGTGTAGAACTTCTGCTTTTGGCAGCCGCTTCAGTTCTATTTTTTCACTGCTGGCCACTTTGTACTATTATCTGCTGTCTGTAACCTTTAAGAAGAAGTCAGTCGTCCGCCGAAATGTCGCCACTTGATCCTTGACGCATGGAACGCCAAAATAGAAAGAAATATTTTGTGAGCGCATTGGTAAAGCGCCAAAAAAGCGTGCTATGAAATCGGAAGGTAGCCATGTACGAAATTTGGAAATTGGTTTTGGTGCTTTGTTATTGCTATTTACATATGTACATCTAATGTCGCCGCTATCCACCAGCCGAAAAAAATTTAAATAAATAAATGTGTATGTATATATTTAAACCTTTTTGCTGGCGACGTATAATTCTTGCAGCAAAAAAAAAAAACTCCCGATTCCATGTTGAGTTGGGCAGTAAACCGGCTGACGACAACGGCAAATATGCAAATGTTGCCAGGCTGACGCCGCCAGTGATGCCGTGGGCCATTGGCCATGAGCAGGCTGTCCCAAGACCCAAGACTGCAGCAAAAAGTGATAAGGCATTGGGCGGGGCGAGTGTAAGAATACTTAAGGGCACAAAACAGAATTTAGTCTATTGCCAAAAAGGCACCGAAAAAAGTCCAACAATTTAACAATTCAATTAAGACATTTTTAGCCCAGAAAAACACACACTAACACTAACACCGCAATGCATTGTGGCCAGCTTGGAAAGGATTCATTTTGTTGGCATTCAAGCAACCAGAGCATGGTTGACTTTTTATTTTCTGATACGCCTTTTTGCCTGAGATTTATATGTGTGTTTTACTTGGGCGCTTCCGGTACATATGTACGATATCAGCGCTGCACTTAAACCACTTTAATGCTTTTGATGATAAGGATTCGTTCGCTCATACCAATGCTTAAACTTTCATCTCAAATCAATTAACATTAAATTTTGAAATTGTGTGGATTTTTGCTCGTCGTAGCCCATTTAACGCGTTAAAAATGCGATATGGGTTTGCGCTAACAACCAAGCAACGAATTGGTTGCGTGTACAAAACTCAACTCATTCAGTTAAGAGTTAAACGAAAGCTGACTTCTTTACATCCTTTTTAGAGTACGTTCACTGGTCGTCGATTTTAAATTTGAAATCAATCGTTATTGGCACATTTTAAGAACACTTTGAAATTCAATGAGTTCAACCCACGAACACGCTTAAATAAAATAAATGGTAGCAAAGAGTGATAACATCGTCTATGTACGACGTGTGGCAAAGTATCGAAAGTCGATGACTAACTATAGCAGTAGCATCTTTAAGGGCTGGCATAGTTACTTTGCGTTTATGGAACTTGATGCAGTAAAGTGACCGACAAAATGGTCTTCCTCTTCCACTTTGCATTTTACTACATACATACTTAGCGTTGCAATTCACATAATTCGCCGTAGGGAAAATGCACACAAGTGGCATGCTCTCAGCACGTATAACTGTAATTTATACTTGTAACAAATTGAATCGAAGCGTTCAAAGTTTACCAGCGATGAGTTAAATAAACCATGTGGGTAAAGAAGGTCGGGGGAGGTGGGGGGGGGGGGGGGGGGGGGGGGGGGAGGGCATTTGTCTTTGGAGAAGAGGAATTGAATTTTGGAATGTACATACAGTGAGCTTCAAATATAGGTGTACCCTGACGTTAAGAGGATTTTATTTTTTATATTTTACTTGCCAATTTTTCTTTTTTTTTATAATTCATTCAAAAGCAAAAACAGCAAGGATCCATTTTTTTTAATTTCTTACAGAATTGGGGGAAAATGGAAGATATTTTCAATTTTTCAACTCGATTTCTTGGGCAGTTTTGAGTATGAGTTTTGAATCCCAATAAATATTAGTACAATAAAATGCATGTTTTAAGTCGCAAAAAATTGCCGTTGATTTTGAATTTTTTTTTTTTGTACTGAGGATGTTGCGTATCTTCTTTCATGTAAAAAAGGAAATTGCGCTACACGTTCGGCAAAAAAAAAAATATATATTATAAAAAAATAAGAACAATTTTATATGGAAAATATAAATAAATCAAATCGTCAATACGTCAGGGTATACTTATTTTTGACGCTCATTTTATTATAAGAAATAAAAATATATAAATAATATGAAAATAAATAAACATAAATTGAGAATAAAGATAAAATGGAGAAAAGAAGATTGTAATAAATTAAAAAACAAATAAAAGTTAAAAAGCTTATAACCAAATAAGTAAAACATTGAAATAAAAAAGTAAACAAATTAAATAAAAATTCATACATTTAAATAAAAAATGTTTAATGTTATAAATAAAATTTAAACAAGAAATAAATGAATTAAAACAAAACTAAAAATATATCAAAAACAAGTCAAATTCTTAAATAAAAAAAGTTAAAAATTCAAATAAAAAAAAATAAAAATCAAAGTAAGAAAAGGAAAAATTAAAAAAAGAAAATATCCATAAACCACATTTAAATAAAAATGGAAAACGAATAATATAACGAATAAAAAATTGTATTGACATATAAAAATCTTAAATAAAAGCATAAATAAACAATTTATACTGATAATAAAAAATAAAACAATAAAAATGAATTTAAAAAAAAATAATTGAAAATAAAAATTGTTAATTAAGAAAATTTAGGTTAGCCACGTAGTGGCCGGCTTCGCATAGACCATTAAGGTCCATAGCGTTCCCAGACAAACTACGACCAAATTAGACAGCTTATCACTGAATACCAGGAGCAATGTTGAAGAAAATCGCAAACCTCTTGCCAAACTGGAATACATTGTTGTAAACCCACCTTAGCGGATGCGTCCAGGTTAGGCAGAAAGCCTGCTCCCAGGAGTCCAATACGAAGTCTGCCAAGGGCAAGATACTCACAGAGGTATGCTCTTTCGTTCTGCATCTCCTACAGATCTTATCATTGGTCAGAGCCAGTTTAAAGGCGTGCGATGCCAGCAGGCAATGTGCCGTTAGAACACCCATTAGGTGCCTAGCGTCTTTCCTCTTGAGGGAAAATAGACACTTTGCGAGTTTTATGTCATACGCTCTGCACATAATCCTGGATGTCTTGGAATATTGCGTTTTGGTCCACACCTGCGCCTTCCTGATAATGGATATGTTGGTCGAGCTCCCGTTTAATAATTTGGAGGAGTATCGGCACCTCCTTTATCAGCTTAGCTTCCGACAAAGCGTCGTCCTTGGCAATCCTCGGCCTCCTTCTTACACGCGACGCCGGTAAAAAATATTAAAAAATTTTATTAAAAAAATTGCAAATAAAATAAAAAAAGAAATTTAAATGAGTACAAAAATTTCAAATAAAAATAAAAGGATTTCAAATTAAAAAATTTAAATAAAATATAATAACACTAAATGTTGAAAAAAAATGTTGAAAAGAAAAAATTTAAAAAAAAAATTTAAATACAAATAAATTTCAAATAAAAAAAATTAAAAAAGAATAAAAAAAATTTAAAACTAAAAGCTGAAAGAAATTAAGAGAAAAATAAAATAATAAACAAAAAAGGATAGACTTTAGTGAGTTAAAAATTTACATATTTTTACTTTTAATTTTTATAACAGCCGTATCAAAAATTTCATTCTCTCATATTCCATTTGCTACTTCTATTTTGTTTATTTTATCTACAATCGGTCATGAGCGCCGCTCCTATAG